CTTAAAAAGCCTAACCCAAATGGCAAAAGAGGTCCAAAAAGCCAATGAGGAGAAAAATGCCCTAAAAAGAAAAATTGGCCAAATGGAAAAGGAAGTCCAAAAGACTTACTGAAGAAAATACTTCCTTAAAAATTAGAATAGAGCAATTGGAAGACAGTGACTTTATGAGAAATCAAGACACTGTAAAACAAATCCAAAAGAATGAAAAATTAGAAAACAATGTGAAATATCTCATTGGAAAAACAACTGACCTGGAAAATAGATCCAGGAGAGAGAATTTAAAAATTATTGGACTATCTGAAAGCCATGATCAAAAAAAGAGCCTAGACATCATCTTTCAAGAAATTATCAAGGAAAACTGCCCTGATATTTAGAACCAGAGGGCAAAATAGAAATTGAAAGAATCCACAGATCTCCTCCTGAAAGAGATCCCCAAAGGAAAACTCCTAGGAATATTATAGCCAAATTCCAGAGTTCCCAGGTCAAGGAGAAAATATTACAAGCTGCCAGAAGGAAACAATTCAAGTACTGTGGAAACACAATCAGGATAACACAAGATTTAGCAGCTTCTACATTAAAGGACCAGGGCATGGAATATAATATTCCGGAGGGCAAAGGAGATAGGATTACAACCAAGAATCACCTACCCAGCAAAACTGAGTATAATCCTTCAGGGGAAAAAATGGTCATTCAGTGAAATAGAGGACTTTCAAGCATTCTGATGAAAAGACCAGAGCTGAATAGAAAATTTGACTTTCAAATACAGGACTCAAGTGGAACATGAAGAGGTAAACAGGAAAGAGAAATCATAAGAGACTTATTAAGATTGAACTGTTTCCATTCCTGCATGGAAAGATGATATTTATAACTCATGAGACCTTTGTCAGTATTAGGGTAGTTGGGGAAAATTATATGTATGTAGATAGATAGATAGATAGATAGATGAGATAGATAGGCACAGGGTGAGTTGAAGATTAAGGGGTCATATCTGGAGAATAAAATTAAGGGATGAGAGAGGATTATACTCGAGAAGAAAGGGAGAGGTAGAATGGGGTAAATTATCTCACAAAAAAAACAGAAAAGAAAAGTCTCTTACAGTGGAGGGGAAAGAAGGTGAGAAGGGAATGAGTAAATCTTATTCTCATAGGATTTGGCTTAAGGAGGAATAACATACACATTCAATTGGGTATGGAAATTGTCTTACCCTACAGAAAATAGGGGGAGAAGGGGACAAGAGAGCAGGGGGATGATAGAGAGGAGGGCAGATTGGAAAAGGGGTAATCAGAAGTAAATACTTCTGAGGAGGGACAGGGTCAAAAGAAAGAATAGAATAAATGGGAGGGCAGAATAGGATTAAGGGAAATAGAGTTAGTTTTTCACAACACGTCTACTAGGGAAGTGTTTTGCATAACTGCAAATGTATAACCTATATTGAGTTGATTGCCTTTTCAATGAGGGTGGGAGGAAGAGAGAAAATTTGAAACCTAAAGTTTTAAAAACATATGTTTAAAAAAAAAGTTTTCACATGCTATCGGGAAATAAGAAATACAGGAAATGTGGTACAGAAGTCTATCCTGCCCTACAGGAAAATAGAAGGGGAAGGGGATAAGAGAAGGGGGGAGAGAAAGAAAAGAGGACAGACTAGGGGAAGGGATATTCAAAATGCCTGTCATCTTGGGGTGGGGGGGAGGGTGAGATGGGGTGAAAATTTGGAACTCAAAAACTTGTGGAAATGAATGTTGAAAACTGCAAATAAGCAAATTTATAATAATAAACAAACAAACAAACAAATAAATAAATAAAGTTTAAAAAATACTACCTCCTTGCCCAGAGGGTAATCCTGACTGGGAGGCAAAAAGGAAATCTTGAAGAACAAATTACAGATTATGTCTTTTAGTTTATTATTTTTTTTTCTTTTGTAGCATAGAAATTTGACATGATGTGTGAAAGCACATTTTTCATTGTAGAAATGTACTTAATAAATTTTCTATTATTTAGAAACATAACTACTTGCAACATAAAATTAAAAACTCCTGTAAAATGTCCATCATGTCAGTGACTTTACACTTCACTAAAACTTGTTGATAATAATGGGGGCTCACTAAATCATTCTGCATCAAAGCCATACCCCCCAAGGACCTCCAAGTGAATGGAAATTTACAAGGATACACACACACACACACACACACACACACACACACACACACACACACACACACTACCATCCAGCCACCTCCCTTTGTAATCTGGAGGAAAGCTTCCTCAACCTGTCCTGAACACCTATGTCCTCTCAATGACTGAATACTTCATCAACAGCAGATTCTTCATCAGCAACCCTCCTTTGCAGTATCAAACCAGCCAGTGAAATCCACCTAGCTACCCTGTTAGAGCAGGCCAGAATCATAGAGCTCACAAGCAGTGTGTTCACACTTTTAGGTTAAATCTCCATCCTCTACCTCGAAACAATTCAAATGCCTCTGCCTATTCCAAAAGGTCTTTGGGTCCACAAGTGTTCAACTCAGGCAAGAGCAAGCTGCTATTTCTGCAAGTTATTGTTCAGAATTTTTACCTAAGTCCCAGTGTTTCAGTAAACATGACAAGGAAGGGGGCACATTTGAGCACAAAGAGGAAGATGCCAACGCCTATAGTCCAAAGGACCTCACCAGCTTCTACACTGGCCATATGAAGCCAGAGCATAAGATGGAGGAGAAACAGGGCACTTCTGCTGGTATGTACAAGGGGTGACTAATTTACAAAATACAGTCCTTCTCTGCCTCCTGGCTTCCTCCAAGACTCAGCCTAAATCTGCCCTTCCACAGGAGGCCTTTCTGGGTCATTGCTCCCTTTCCTCAAGTCTTCCCCTGGAGATCCCTCTCATTTCCCATTGGCTCCTCATGGACAGCCAAGTATCACCAAAGCACCGAGTGGGGCCACCTTGACTCACACCTATCCTCAAACTGAAAACACAGGCATCCATCTTTAATGCACAATTCAGCATCCCCCTGCCCCAGCCCACCCCATTGCCCATCTTTCCTAAACAGTTTATGCCTTGCAAATTACATGTCTAAGAGTAAGAGCCTTCCAGCTCAGCTGGCCAGCTGAGGGACCTGCCTAGCTATCTCTGCCTCTGCTTTCGTATACTGCCGAGCCGTCTCTAGGTACTCAAGGATAATCGATGGTAAATACAAATCAACTCTAGGAATCGATGGCAGAGCTGCCTGGAAGATTGACCATTTTTAAATGATTACCAGCTCTTGAAATAGCACCCAGAGACCTAGAGAAATTCATGGAAGAGATCTGTGCTTGGATGGAATCAGAAGTTTTGTTTGTTAAAACTGAGTGATAGGAAAAATCATTCTGCAAATAACAGATTTTAATATAGAAATCACAGCCAATGTAATGGTGGAGAGAAGCAAATGTGATATTGTAGAAAGAGGCAAAATCCACAGATAACTCAAAGGTCCTTTTGTGGTATGGATTTCGCTATGTCCCTTCAACAGCTTTCTCCAAGGACAAGCAGTAAGAAGCAACCGCAACTCATGCCAGCTTTGACTATTCTCCCTTTTCCAACACATCATCTAATTCCAGCACTGCTAAGGAGAGAACAGAAAGGGAGAGAACAAAGTGGGAAGGAGAAAGGTGGCGAGAACTGAGTAGGACGGGTTTAGCAAGAGCTCCTGACAATCTTGTCTCCAGCAGTATAGAATAGAGGAAAGTGTCAGAAGATCCCTGTAGGAAAGCCCACTCCAGAAGAGTAACTACACAGAGATGATTAATACAGGCTTTGAAAGTAATGCACAGCTGAAGATTTTGAGATTGGCTAGCTACCATTCTGCAGAGGCAGACTAGATGGAGCTCATATCAGCTCATGCCTGAGTATGGCCATTGGGTAGAGATTCAGGGTGCTGATGCAATCTGTGGTGGAAATTTCTGAGAAAGCAGACAGAGAGCCTTGAAGCCAGAAACATCCAGGTTCAAGGTCTACCCATGGTACATACAGGCTAAATGATTCTCAGCGAATCACTTCACTTCTAAGTGATACAGGTGACTCTCTCCATTTCAGAGAACGTACATCAACTTGCATGGGTGGAAGTTTTCTCATTGGGAATTCCCTCTACTAATGAAATCCCAGGTCCGTTCCCCATCTCTATTCCTAATGTGCATTTACTATCCTGGCAGTGGAAACCTAGGCTGTCATCACATGGGAAAACCTACCATGTTCAGCTCCTCCCCACATGACTGAAGTCTTATGGAGGCTTAGTCATTCCCTTTGGTAGCGTATCCATAGCAGAAGACTTTCGACCAGGAGGATAAAGAATGAGGAGAAATAAGAGGAAGAAGAGGAGCCATATCTATCACAAATGACCCTGCCTGGTCCCTGGATAATTGAGTACTGAAGGCATGTTTTCTTTATCACTTTGCTATAATCATCCAATATTACTGCCTTGAAGTGTGGCAGCATTTCAATATGGCATTCTGCTCCAACAGGAGGTCGTGCTTAGCCATTTGTTCAGCATCATGTGGACCATTTGCACGCAGGGAGTTACTCAACCTTGTTAGAAAATCAATAACCTGTTCTGTCGGTAGCCTCAGGTAAAGTTTCTCCTGGTTTCTAGAAGAAGTTAGGTCAATTTATCATCCTAGAGCCCTCCAACATTGCTTTGGAGTACTGTTGTTTGGGCTTCCCACTTCAGCTAAAATTCTAATTTAATCAATAGCAAATTGAATTGGAAGTCAGGGGGAGCTCTAAAGCTGCCTCAGAAAAGCATCCAGTGTTTTTTAGGCCCCAGGCCAATCCGAACGGAATGAACAGAAGGTAGCGTAGGTGGGATAAACGGGGCCTGGCTGCTGCCGCACCAAGTACTCATAACAGTCAAAAACATATAACAATCAACTTGGAAAATAACCGGGTGCTCATTTTATAGCTGGCACGCAAGGGGACCTTCCCTCTGCTAGGATTCAACACCCAGGCACCAAGGAAAGGCCCGGTCAGGGCTTACCGGTCTTTCCCCGTCTCCTTCTTAAAAACGCCATCACAGTAGCTCATGCGCTTCTCCGTGGTCACATAAATCTGGGCACCCGGGTAGATATCAGCAGCTTTTCTCAACATGTTGTATACAATGCCATTGCCGTCCTTCCTCATGTTCCGGAAAGGCCCCCAGATCACGTAGATGGTGGAGTTGGTTTCTTTGAAAAAGTAATCGGGATTCTTAAGCAAGAGAGGGACGCTGGTGTGGGACACAACTCGGATCATCGTCTTCCGGCCCACATCCTCCTCATAGCCCTTGGTGGGGGCGTTATTCATTCTCCAGATGCAGGAGGACCTGTCTATCTCGGGGCCCACCTTCTGGCCGGCCATCTGACCAGAGTTGGAGACGATGGCACAGAGATCACAGTCGAGGTGCAAAGGCTGGCAAAAACAGGGAGGGGGGGAAGAAAGAGAGAATCGGGTTAATTAGTAACCTTCACAGCCTCCAAGTGCTCGGAGGAGGAAGAGAGCCTGCTGTTCTGGCGGCTAATTAGGAGAAGCTCTCCGAAATGTGGCCCGGTCCTTTGTGAAACTTACTTCGGGGGAGTCGGCTGATTCCAGGAACAGTCAACAGGCGAGACGGAAGAAGTACTCTAGCCTCCTCCCTGCCAACACATCAGTTAAAGCTAAAAGTGTGTTCTCTTTGAGGACAGATCTCTGCTTAAGGGAGGAAATTTGCCCTAAAGGATGAACAGCTGCAGTGAGAGTCAAGAAATCCTGGGTTCAAATTCCTCCTCCCATATTTACTATCTGTATAATCACAGATAGGCAAGTCACTTGACCCTCTGTCTGGCCTTAGTTTACCCATCTGTAAAATTGGGATGATAATAACTGCAGATTTGGCTTCCAATCTCAGTTCTGTTACTGCCTCTCTGTCCTCAGTTTCCTTACCTGTAAAATAAGCAGTTTGGATTAGAATCCTTTCAATGTTCCTTACAGCTGTATACCTCTGATGCTAGTCTCTTGTCTCAAGGAGCTCGTGTAAGATTCCAATAAGATAATATATGTAAAGTGCCTTGACAATTTATGGTTCTGAGTAACCTAAAGGAGTTCATCAAAGATATTACAAGTGAAAAAGGCATTGATTGAATATTTTTATTTATCTGGAAGAATAGATGGTTCCAAAGAATTTCATTTTAAGTACAAAGAGTTTCCAAAAGGAAGGGTTTCTCCATAAGCAAAAGCATCTTAAGTAAGTTCTCACAAAATATAATGTTGATCAATGAATAAATCTATTTAAACCTTGACATCATCTGGCCTTTGGAGTCACACTTTTCCCAAGAGCCCTGAACAGCAGGGCTTCCATTGAAACCAACCTGGGAGGAGGCATTCTAAAATCGATGTGGGTCAATTGCCCCCTCTCTGACATTAAAGAGCTTTTACCAAATGGCAGACATAAGAAAACCAATCGTTAAATCATGCATCAGACTCTGGACTCTTTGACCCAGAAGATGATGTGAATCTACAGAAAATCTCTCCGAATGCCCCTCTGTGAAAATGGGAATGGTTTCTTTTTCAACCTTTGCAGTGCCATCCTTAATCTTCACTGCATCCCACAGAAGCAAGTTAATTAAAAATAATGTATTAAAAAGGATGATATAACCTCCTAAAACTAATTTGCAGATTTAATGCTATACCAATCAAACTACCAAGGGGATATTTTATAAAGCTAGACACAATAATAACAAAATTCAATTGGAAGAACAAAGGGTCTAAGATCTCAAGGGAAATAATGAAAAAAGAAGTAGGAACAAAAAGGGACTAGTTCTTCCAGACATCAAATTATATCATAAAGTGGCATTCGCCAACTATCTGGTGCGGGTTAAAAAAAAAAAAGTGAAATGGAGATCAGTAAAACTGATTAGAAAAGCAAGAAGCAGAAACAAGTGAAATCTACAACCCAGCATTTGGGAAACCTAAGCAAAAATTACTTGGGGGAAAACTCACTCTCTGATCTACTGGGAGACTGGAAAACAGCTTGGCAAAAATTAGGTTTAGCCCAGTATCTTACACAATGTATCACAATAGGTTACAAAAGGATATGAGGCCAAAATATTAAAGATCACACTACATAAAATTGAGAGAAAACCAGATGAGGCCATATGCATCATAGGCAGATTTGAATCCAGGACTTTCTGACTTTGAGGCTAAACCCCCATCCACCAAGCTGCACTGTTTTGCTCAAAAACAAAGATTTTTTTTTAACGTATTGAGTGCCTCATGTGATTGGCCGACTTTCTTTGTGGTAGTGGGAGGTCTGTATATGTGATTTCATCAATGTGGGGAACTCTCTCAATGTGGAGACTCCCAATCACTGGCGATTTAGAGGCAGACATCAACTATTCCAGAACTTATAGTTATTAGAGTACTGAGAAGGGACGAGACGTGGCCAGTTCACACAGCCAGTATCCGTCAAACCCAGATCTTCCTGGCTCCAAGGCCAGCTGCCTCCCCTCTACACCATGCTCCACCTCAGTACATTGTGAGTTTTCAGCATAGCAAGAGACAGAAAACAGACTCTGAGAAAAAAACTTAGAAAGAACGCATTACAGTGGGGACAGGATGGGCCAGTGAATGACTGGTAGGATAATTCTGCCAATTTACAGATGGGTAAACTAAGAAAGGTGCCACTCATATGCCCAGGCATATCTACTGAGTTAAAAGGCAACGATCTTCCCCAAAGTCTCTTAAATAGCCCCATCCATTTGACTATGTTCTGAACCTTCAGAGAGATGCTTCTACTGTCCATGCTGTTCCAGCTTGGGCTCTCGATCAACAGCTAAAGAGAAGAAATGCAGCAACAAAAAGATTTCAGCAGATTTGGGGATGTTGCATTGCTCCTAAGAAAGGCCATTTGTTAAAGCATATTAAGTGAGTTCATTAATTAATCAATCGAACCACAACCATTTCTACTATGATGAATGTTTAGAAAACATGAATTTGTTCCAACATGATGATATATCTGGAAACGTTTTGTGCATAATTCGAATTTTGATTTTGCTTCTGTTAGATTCCTTCCTGAGAAAGAACAAGAATGTTGCAAACTGCCCCACTTCTCACTAACTTGTGAGTGGCAGCCCTTCCCCTGCCAGCTTCCACAAGCAAATTCCAGCTCTTTGTCAGGTGAAAAGGGACGTTTTTATGGTACCTGTTCTGCTGCAGCAGCATCTCTGGACCCAGAGAACTGGTCAGGACAAGGCTGTGGACAAGGCCATTATTTATTGAAGTATTTATGGATTTCTCAGCCATCTAATGTATTTAAACTGCCCTCCCATGTTTATTGGGTTCCTATAATTCTTATGTGTTACTGATGACATTTGTGAGCACTGAGCCCCATCTCCATTTTGCCCCTAAGCTCTGTGATTTTTATTATGAGATACTCTTTGGGAATGCATAGCCATAGCTGAACTGCCTGGACAATGATGCTCCAGATGCAAATATAAGCAGAAAACAGTTCTCTCTTCAACATCACTAACTTCTGCTAAGCCGTGATACTCTCTCAGTACCCAGACCTGTCACACAGGGCCTTCGGTGGTTGATGGAGGAACATCAGGGCTGAGACAGAAGAGACCTGGGTTCTAAGCCCAGCTCCATCACTTAGTGGCCATATTACCATGAGCTTCCATTTTCTCCTCAGAAAAATGAGGCTTGAGATAGCCCCTACCCTCACAGGGCTGCTGAGAGCATCGAAATACATGCAACACATTAGGTAGTCAAGGGGCGCTGGAGAAAGTTCATTGGACCTGGAGTTAGGAAGATCTGAGAGTAAGTCTCTAAGCATTTATTAGACACCTAATTAATGCCAGGCACTGTGCTAAGCCACAGGAATACAAGGAAAGGCAAAAAAAGTCCCTGACCTCAAGGAGCTTATAATCTAATAGGAGAGGCAACACGCAAACATATATACAAACAAGCTGCACCCAGGATAAATAGAAAAATACTAACGAACAGAGGGAAGGCACTGAATTAAGAAGGGTCAGGGAAGGCTTCCTACAGAAGGTGTGATTTTAGTTGGGACTTGAAGGAAGCCAGGAAGGTGAGTGGTCAGAGTGGAGGAGGGAGAGAATTCCAGCCAGAGAGAATAACGGGGTGGAGAGATGGGCACTGCCAAGAGGCTGAGGTACCTGCATCAAAGTGCATGGGGGGAGGGAGTTATGAGGTATAAGAAAATTGGAAAAGTGAGGGGGTAGGACAGGTTATAAAGGACTTTGAATGCCAAACAAAGGATTTTGTATTTGATCGTCGGGGTGTAGAGAGCCATTAGATATAATTGAGTATGAGGGGGGTGACATGGTCAGGTCAGCACTTTAGGAAGGTCACTTTGGTTGCTGGATGAAGGATGGATTGCCTTGAGGTAGGCAGACCCCCAGCAGGCATGGCAGTAGCCGAGGAGATGGGACCGTTGAGGTCATAAGGGCTTGTAAAAGGGTGGTGGTGCTATCAGAGAAGAGCAGGGGGCATATATGAGAGATACTGTAACAGTCAAGTCAATGGGCCTTGGAAACACATTAGATATGGTAAGAGAGGTGAGAGATAGTGAGTAGCTGAGGATACCAGCCTAAGTGGTGAGCCGGGGGACCGAGAGGATGATGGTGCCCTCCATAGTAAGAGGGAAGTTAGGAGGGGGAAGGAGAAAGAAAATAGGTTCAGTTTTGGACATGAGCATAAGACATCTACTGGACTTCAAGTTGGAGTTAGAGATATGAGCCTAGAGCTTAGCAGAGAAGTCAAGGCAGGAAATGTAGATCTCTGAGCGTCATCAGCATAGAGATGATTGTTAAATCCATGGGAGCTGAAGAGATCCCCAAGTGAAGTAGGATATAGCAGGAGAAGGAAAAAAGGGCTCAGCACAGAGTCCTGTGTGACAGTCATGGTTAGTTGGCTTGACCTGGATGAAGATCCAGCAAAGGAGACAGAGTAGTGATCAGATATGAGAAGAACCAGGACAGAGGGATGTCATGAAAACCTAGAGAGAGAAGAGTATCCAGGAGGAGACCATGCCCAACAGCATCCAAAGCTGCAGAAATGGAGAACAGTCCACTCACTGGATTGGACGTTTAGGAGATTCCTGGTCACTCCAGAGAAGGCAGTCTGCATGGCATGATGAGGTCAGAAGCCAAATTATAGAGAGTTAAGAGACTGAAAGGAGAGGAAGTTGGGGCATCAATCAGAGATGCCTTTTCAAAGAGTCTAGCCACCAAGGGCAGAGGAGATAGAGGATCACAGTTATGGGGATGGAAGATGGGGGAGCCATGAGCACATTTTTAGGCAGTAGGAAAGGAGCTGGTAGATTGGAGAAACCGAAGGTAAGTGAGACAGTGAGGATGACAGAGAGGGCAGTGGGATGTAATGGAATCATCTGTGCAGGTAGAGAGCTTGGA